TTTTCCGGACCCCCAAAAAAAAAAAAAAAAAAAATTGTACAGAGACATATTTTGTTTTCTAACTCGTTTATTTCACACATTTTAAATTGTATTGTTTTTTACGTACCTTGAACTTTTCCATTTTATGCTAACATAGCCAACTTTGAGACTACTGTTGCCCCGAGCAGATCGAACGGGTGACGGGCAAAAACGCGAGCGAGAATTTAAAATAACAATAAACATTTACAGCAGTGTTTCCCAAACCTTTTTTTTCTGGGGACCCGTATTTTAAAAGTTGCAAACCCTCGCGACCCGAGTCAATAGACAATATTCGTAAACTCCTGGGAAACATAATGCGACGCGACCCAAAAAAAAATACACTGTGCCCCCATAGGGGCCTCACCCCCCATTTTGGGAACCTCTAAACAAAGACAAGTCTGTATATGTCGATCTTTCTTCTCAAGGTGAAATAGATTATGAAACCCCAACCTTTACAATTCCTCACCTTGCGTCCCCAGATACCCAACAAACAAATGGCTAAAGCTGGGAACGTTTCACGCCAGGGACGAACGCACCGTCCAGAGCTTCCCATTGGACGAACATCTATACGCCAAATATGTGAAGGTTGGGAAGTTTTTCAATTTTTTTTTTCCTAATGACTTTGCCGTCAAATTCATTCTAAAAAAATTAACTAAATTGAGAATAAATACAGTTTGTTCTTATTCTGGATGCATGTATAAATATTCTTTAATTCTTCTCTCCTTTCTCCATGTTTCTTGCTTCAGATGTTCACCAAGTACATAAAGGTTAGCCTGCATTTCTGGTAGAGGTTTGTTCTTGAGTGAGCTGAATAGCAAACAAGGGAAATGTCAGTGATGTGTGTGTGTGTGTGTGACTATGTTTGAACAAATAAATTGGTCATGCTGCATAACTAATTTATTTAAATATATCTACTAATTTGATATATTATTCCATTGGGTGATGTCCCATTAATATCCAATACATTTATTGGATCACAACTGCATTGAAATGGACTAACCTCCTTTCAGTCTGTTTTTCCTATTAACACGTTGTCTTCCAAATGTGCAAATATCAGCTTTTGCTGTGTGTCCATAACTAGTCCACTGCTGCTGTTGTGGTGTATTTTTGTTGCTTTAGGAGCCGCCGTAGTGTATCTCAACATTTGATCTGTTTTCAGGTGGAGTTGCTGTCGCACTTCGGCTCGGAACATTTCTGTCCCCTCAGTCTAATCAGGTAAAGACACTATGCCTCATTCTCACAGCCTTTGAATATATACGTGTGTGTATATATATGTATATGTATATATATGTATGTGTGTGTATATATATGTACATATATATATATATATATTCATATATATTCACATGTTTAAAAAATATATATTCATATATACATATGTATTTATATATTTTTTAAATTTTTATATATATATTTTTTTATCCAAAAAGTAAATCAAAATAAAAATCTCGTCAGTGTTCGTCTGTGTGTGTATGTAAGGGGTTCAGAAAAAACATTTAATCATAATTTATCACGAATACTCCATGAATTAATCCAGGTAAATCATCATCATTATGTCATCATTTACCGTATAATTACTATATTAATATTTGAAAATGATGGTTTTTCATAAAAATCTAAGCACTCACAAACAGATTTTTTCAAAATAATATTTATGTACTTTCAATACCAGGGTGTTCGGTACGAGTATGGTTGAAGAATACGAGGAGATAACTTATCCCTCAGAGAGGCCCGATGATCAGGACGATGAACTGGGTAAGAAAGTCGAACTTCTCCTCGTTGTTTAGTCTTTTATCTCTGTCCATTTTTTTTTTTAAATCATTTGAATGCTTGATAAACCTCTGACAGACTATCCCGGTTGTGTGCCTGGTGAGGTCAAATCATCCAAAAATCTGATTGGATCAGCAAAAGGTGACGCCCGACTGACATTAACTTCTACCATACAGTCAGGACACGGATCGTTTTTTTTTTTTATTAACTCTTCGTCCTCTTCGTGTTCCATTCATTTCTCTAGATGTCATTTTGAACATGGTCAACATTGCTGCCAATGTTCTTGGCGGAGGTCCTGACATGCAAGGTACGAGCTGGTTGTTGACCGTGTGACATAAATTGTGATTAGTAAAAAAAAAATAAAAAAAATAGTTGTGTCAATTTTTCTTTTCATTTCGACTTTTTTTTTTATTTATTAGCCAATGGTTCATCCCACGGAGAAAACTTGTCTGAGCCGTCAGTTAAACTTGAAACAGTGACCCCAACAGCCACTACAGATATTACCTCAGCGTAAGTGTCGGCCATCGCCGTTAAAAAAAAATCACTATAGGTGTATGCTTTATGTCATTTATTTATTTTTTTCTGTTTTGTTTTTTCCTCTTAAGCTCTGAATCTGAAGTGGTAGAACCTTTGCCAGACGCTGGTATCTCTGAAACGGCAGCCCTCTCTTCGGAGACCTCTGCGTCGGACACACCTGATACAAACCCAAACAAACCGCCGCTGCCCCCAGTGGAGGATCAAAAGGTCAGCTCGTCAGAGGGGGATGAGGAAAAACCCATCAGCTCCACCATCATCCTTCTGGATAAGGACGACGAGGACGAGGAGGAGGAGGAATCGGATGTGAGGAAAGAGAAGCCGGCTCACAGGAAGCAACAGGAAAGTCTTCAGAATCCCTGCTGTCCGCCTTCCTCGCAGTGTTCCTTTGCGGCGTCCGTGACGGAATATCTCACCCGACAGTGTTCGGCTCTGCGGTCCAAGAAGAGGACGTGCCAAACGGCTGGTCAGAAGCAAACGTTTCCCACGGTTCATCCCAGTTGGCACGAGGGTGAGGAACAACAGCTTGATGCAAAAGAGAATCCTGCTGAGCGTTTGCCGCAGCCGCCAGCAGATGGAGCTAGCACCTCAGAAGCAACACCACCTCTGGGTAACGTTGTAGAACCTCGTACAGAATCTGTGTCGGAAACTGCAGTCGTACTAGAGCCCAGTCAGTCCTTGAGCCTCTTCCAAACCAACACCACTGATTCATCAGCCGCCATCGCTACATCTTTCTCGGAGACGCCCGTGCTGCCTCCCGGGGACGCGACAAAGGAGCAGAGGCCTGAACCGAGCCTGAATGTTCTAACCACGGACAAACCCGCAGCAGATCCGTTCCCTTCCAGCAGTTCTGCATCCTCATCAGTAGACGCAGCAGTAGCCGATGCATCCGAGTTTGATTCAAGTACCTCAGTCCAACTCTCGGAATCCCTCAGGGCCGATCAGACTCAGACGCCCCTTCCCAGCGCCTCCCTTCCTTCGGAACATCAGCACGACCCACCTGCTGTGCCCACGACGCCCGCGGCTCCCGCCGAGGACTCCCACCCCGCCCCAGACAACGTCGTCGAACTTGAGACCTCTAGTGGCCACCTAATCGCCACGGAAACTAAGACGGAGGATCCTGTGGAGGCCCTCCACCCTACCTCTCCCCCAGCTCCCTCGCCATCCCTGTCGGACATTTACGCAGAGACGGCCAACGTCACGGAGCAGAACGGCAACATGGTGCACGGCTCCAGTCAGAAGGAGTCGGTGTTTATGAGACTCAACAACCGCATCAAGGCCCTGGAAATAAACATGTCGCTGAGCGGGCGGTACCTGGAGCAGCTCAGTCAGAGGTGAGGACGGTAGAAACGGAAAAAAAAACGGGTCTTCTCCGTGATGCGTGAATTCAGTTTTGGGCGTGACTTTTGAGATTTTAAATGGTTTTGTTAAAGGTATCGGAAGCAGATGGAAGAGATGCAAAAGGCTTTCAATAAAACCATCATCAAACTCCAGAACACTTCCAGAATAGCGGAGGAACAGGTGAGCAGTAAGACCGGATTAAGACACCTGCGTCTCCTCTAGAGACCTTGGAAGCACGTGTTTCCTGGGGAAATGTCAGTGTAGAACCCTGTAAATCTTGGACTTGTGAATAGCGGTGGCCAAGCCTAGAGAAAAAAAAAAAAAAAAAAAAAAAACGTCAACAGAAAATGTTGACCTTTGTTTGAGCCTTGACTTTTATCTTGCGACTTTCATCATCACTTTATCAGATTAATTGAGGGAGGATGGTCCTCTAAAATCAGCAGCGTTTACTGATTCACGGTTAATTAATTAATTAATCAATCAGCCCTCTATTCTTTACTTCGGACGTGCAAATCACTTGTTTCTTATTTACATAAAAAAAAAACGTCTTTAAAGAACGAAGTCAGAACAGTTCCCCAGTTTAGGAAAAGTGTACATTTGCTTGTTTGAGCGGTTGTTTTAAAAAAAAAAAAAAATCTCTGTTTTTTCCCACAGGATCTGCGCCAGACGGAGCACATACAGCTGCTGCAGGGCCAGCTGCACAATGTGACTCAGCTGGTCCTCAACCTGTCTGTCAGAGTGGGCCAGCTGCAGAGTGAGGTAAATACAACTCTGTGGGCTAAAGAAACACCTAATCTAGTAATCAGACAGGGATTTTTTTTTTTCCTATCAGGGAATTTAACTCTAGTATATTTGAAGATACTTTTAATTGTCTTAATTTACACGGCTGAATACAACTCCCCTGTAGTACATATGCCAGACCTGTATGTGGCGCTGTGTCACCCCCCCACTCTTAACATACTAACATCAGAAGAAGTTCAGAAAGACTAATGGCTTTTGTCATTCCACCAATGTGGAATCATTAGCTTTAGCACACCAAGTAGCCAGATTAGCCTCTCCTAGCATGGTGGTTTGAGGCAAGAAAGTGCGAGACATGTTCTGGAGTGGTCCGTGATAGGGGTGGGGTTATATCATGGATCAGCCACGAGCCCCCTTTTGTTTGCCATGGTGATGGACATGTTGACAGACGAGGTCAGGCAGGAGGCTCCATGGACCGTGATGTTTGCAGATGATTGTAATCTGGGCTGAGAGAGGGAGCAGGTGGAAGAAAAACCTTAAGGGGGGGTGGAGCAAAGAGGAGTAAAGGTCAGCGGGGAGACGTGGATGGTGCCAGAGATGTGTAGTTCTGGAAGTGTAAAATGATGGAGGTGAGGGGTCGGGTGTTTTGCGACAGAGGAATAATAACAGCCAAGTTTGAAAGGGAAGGTTTATAAGACGGTAGTGAGAAATGAAGATGCTGAGATACAAGGAGTGACCAGGATGGACAGGAAGGAAATAAAGCAAATGAGAGGGACAGATAAGGTGGAGTAGTTTGGAGTTTGGACAAAGGATATTGAAGACACGGTACAAGAAGTATCACGGCTGGTGGTCCAAACTCCACTGCAGTGAGGCGGGTTATCTCAAACACGTTACATATGAAATATACCCAAACTAACAGCTGCTCTGGACCAAAATTATTTTTGCTTATGGTGTTGTGTATGTATGTATATGTATATATGCATGTATATGTGTATATGTGTATATATGTGTATATGTGTATATATGTATATATGTATGTATATATGTGTATATGTATGTATGTACTGTATATGTATATATATGTATGTATATTTGTATATGTATGTGTATATATATATATATATATGTATGTATGTGTATATATGTATGTATATATATATATTTATTTATTTTTTTGGCCTCTTATTTCATTGCTTATAACATACAGTGAAGACATAACTACAATACGCTGTGTGTGTCTTTTAGGTATCAGGAAGTCAGAACTACCTGCTGCTGTCTCTGCTGTTGTGTCTGGGTCTGGGTTTGTTGCTCTGTACCAGCCACTGCCACATCTCCACCGTTCCTACAGACACAGAAGCGGAGTTGACAACGTGCAAGAACTACACCTACTCTGGAGCTGAGAGGTGGGGCTGTTGAATGTTTTGACTCGCGGGCCACAATTTTCCTAAATTTGAATCAGGAGCAGGAAAAAAATGGAGCGTTCGTGTGTACTAAGATAAATGACATGTAAAAGTCATGCATAAAGGCTAAAATGCTAAGATTCTTTTGTAATTTTCTACGACCTCTATTGGGGAAACATGGGTATTTCAGGGAAAAGGCAGAAGTATAATGATAATATAAATAAATTATATCATTTGGAAAAGTGTAGCGGGCCGGATTCAAAAAACTGAACGGGCCGCATCAGGCCCCCGGGCCTTAGTTTGGCGATCTCATTGGACTTTATTATAAGGTAATTAAACACTTTAGGCCTCCAGCGGGCCACACAAAATAACGCAGGCCTTGGGTTTGACACATATGGTATAGAACCTCAAATTCAAATATGAGTTTAAAAAAAAAAAAAGCCTTAAACTGCCATGTTCTTTCATCACAGCTGTGCCACTTCCTGTTCGGACGTTGTATTAAAGCGGAGCGCCTCCTATCCACTGATACACTCTGATTCATTACAATTAATGGCCCCTGAAGGTAAAAAGAAGTACAATTTTTTTTTTTTTTTTTACATATAATTATCTGAAGAACTTACTTTTAATTTTTTTTGTTTTTGCCAACAGGCACAGAAATGCAGCGCACACAGAGTCTTTGTCCAGCCAACAGGAAGGTGCGTAGAGAGACATTTCAGTGCAGATACAGTCAAAGTTCAGAAAAGTACTAATGGAAATGTTTACTTTGATGTTTCTACCCCCTCACGCAGAAGAGACGTCGTAAGTTGAAGCCCGTGGACCAAGTGGAGACCTTAAAGCCGTCTCTTCTGGCTGCTTCCGAACTGAATATCGGGGCTCTGGTGTGTAACGGTGTCCCCGTCACCACCGACCCAGCTCCTTTCATAAAAACCTTCCTCCAGCCCGTCTTCAGGGACTCCATGTCAGAGGCGGGCTCAGAGGGATCCTCCCATTCCGACGACCCCTCCTTCTGCGGCATCGCCACCGCCTGCCCTCAGATATGTGACAGCCTCCACCTGCCCAAGACCCGGTCCGAGAAGAGGGCTATGAGACGCAGGCGTCCCAAGCCCGGCTGTGCCGTCGTGGACTTGCTTCAAGCCCCAAAGAGGGACAGAGGGGAGCCCATCCCCACCATAGAGGAAACGGAGAATAAAAAATCGGAGAAGTACCCCGGGACGTTTGGGGGTGAACGTTCTCTTGTCGGGTCGTGTCTGATTGAAGGGAAAAATAGAGACAGTACATATCTTCCATAGGCTTTTCCTCCCCCTCCCTTTACTCCCCCCCTTACTGTAAAACTAAAAAAAAAAAAAGCAACTAGAAGTTTAAGCTTCAAAATGAAAACAAAACAACCCCCCCCCCCCCCCCCCCCGTTCACTTTGTTTGTTTGCCTTGTTTTCTCGAGCCAGTCGTTGTCTGGGAAAGATATAAAATCTGTTCCATTCACTTAGAGTTGAATATTTTTATGTTATTTTTTTGGGGTTAAAAGGACTCAAGAGCATTGATCTTAAGTTTTCTTGTGTTACGTCTTCCTTCATGTAAGTTTATCAACAATCTCTTGCAGGTTCGACGAGCTCCCGATCGGAAGTTTAGATGAGCCTCGATTCTTTTTTTTTTTTTCTTTTTTTTCTTTGCAGGTTTCTTTGCATCGTAGGAAGTTGCTGTTGGTGCTGCAGTAAAAACACAGCATTAAAAATGTCATTTTGTATATTCGTCTTCTCGACTGAAGAAACCAAGGAACTGTGGATGGATTTCTAGCCAATCAAGTCCCGGGACTAGGAAACATCTTTAGGTGTGTACCACAAGAGGTTTGTTTTTCAGCCTCCACGTCATTCTTTTCTCCTTTACTTGTACCTTTATCTCTAGTCCATTTGATCGTTTCCTACCTTTTTTTTGCGGGGATCCATATTTTAAAAATCACAAACCTTCACGACTCAAGTCAATAGACATTATTCTGGGAAACATGATGCTGATGCCGATCTGAAACTTTTTTTTTTTTTTTCTCTAGTCGAGCATTTGGGCTCAGGTATCGGACCAGACGGTCTATGTTCGATCCTGAAACTTTCGACCAATATCGGACCAATTCCGATCCTTTTCTGACATAAAATTCTGTCTTCATAAAGTACGTTTTTAAAAAATTCCTGAACCAATTCCTCATCGTAACTCAACTGAATGTTGCCAAAAACAATGTTTCAGGAAATGTGCTATTTGGTGCGTTGCTTACATCGTCCAGCAGGGGTCAGTGTAAGCTTCCTGCAAACCTGGCATATTTTTTTATTTTTTTTTTTTGTGATCTATTTTCACCATCATTTTCCATGTGGTGACTCATTACTCAGGATACAAGTAAATTACTCTCGGGGCCGTTCTATTTTCTACCCTGCCAGCTCCTTTATATATTTTCATTTTGCCGCTCTCCTTATTATTTAGCTGGTGTTCTGTTTTTAAATGTTCTTCTCGATTAGAACAAGTATGTTTTGTTTTTTTTTTATTCTCTCTTTGCCATACGATGGCCTAAAGATTACCTCCAAATCTAGGGTTCCTAAAATCCTTGCTTCCCTGGCATTTTGCTTTTATCTGGACTCGATATTTTAGTCGTGCTTTTATTTTGGTGAACATTTGATTTCTTTATTTCTCTTTAATGTTTTGAATTTTTTTTTTTATCAGATTTATTCATTACCATACTCCCTCTTCTCAAACATTCGCTTACTAATAAAATCGCACGTCTGGTTTTAGATATCAAGGGTGCCAAACATACGGCTCGGGGACCAAAACTGGCCCGTGTGGGTGTTCAATCCGGCCCGCTTGATGAATCTTTAAAATAAATACACAGGATACAGGATTTCTTTTTTAAAATTATATTTAATTAAATATGATAAATATATATATATATATAATAAATATATATAATAAATATAAATATATTTGCACTCGTTTACCTGAATTGTCATTTAGAGTTAAATAGGTTATGATTGTACTGGTCCGGCCCACATGACATCTAATTAGGTTGTACGCGTCCTGTGAACATAAATGAGTTTTGACGCCCCCTGCTGTATAAGTAGTCATGGCTTAAGGAGAGGACACCGTGGTTACCAACTCAGTTTCTTAGCGGAGGACCCTGTCAATGTGAGCATATGCAATTAGAGATGAATAATCCTCCGAGTCCTTCGGCTTTCATGGATTTTTTTTTTTTTTTTTTTTAAGAAGGGAGCATCCTTTGATGTTCTGCAAATGCCATTTGAGGCTAGAGCATTAAATATGGATTTATATATTTTTGTCACTGATCCCAACATCCCCCCCCCCCGTCTCTTCCTTTACTTCTCAGAGACTTATGAATAACGCGCCCCTGTGTTGCGGAAATTCTCTTTTCCGGTCACACCAAGGTGGCGCAAGAGGCCCGGAAAAGCCATTAGCAGGCGCTTGAAATCAATTGGGCCATGCCTTAGCCTCAGTTCCAGCCCTCAGTGGCTGTGGTTAATCCCAGTGTGTAGAGTAGGCTCTGAAAAGCTGGAGCAACCCTGCTGGGTTTGATAAGCTTTTTGGTTGGTTAGAAGTGTCTCTCTCTGTGTGTGTGTGAATAACAGTCACCTCCAAGGAAAAGCTTCTGCTTCGTGAAGCACGGATTCATTTTCACTGCACCTTTTCCCCTGTCATTGAGATTTTTTTTTTTTCTGACGTGATGCACAAAAACATGGCTAAGGTGTTTCCTCACCGACCGACCAATCTGCACGCTCGTAAAGCTGATGCAGACGTAGAATATCGATATCGCCGACGTGCTGACTAAATCTGGAAACAGGATGTACGCACGCAAATTCATCTCCGAGAGTGATGAGCGATTTCACGGCCTAACCTTTTCCTCCACTCACGAATGAGTCACAACCTCACGTGCGAAAAGCGACATCACGCATTCCGTTCGGCCATGTTTTTAGACTCGAAAATCATTCATCATTCCTGTATAGGGTTAGCAGAGACGGTGATCAGAAAGAAAAAAAAAACCCCATGTCAAATCATCTATCGTACAATGAAATATAACGATCTCTCGATTTGAAACCTGGGCCTGTTAAGTTGAACACCGCGCTACCGTACTCACAGGGATTAAAGAAAATCAGTTTGGGGTCTTGCTTTTTTTTTTAGCCATTTGCTTTCACCTAGTGATGTCAGCAATTTATATATGTGAATACATATGTATGTATATATGTATGTGTATATGTATGTATATATGTATATGTATATACAGTATATATGTATATATATATAAATATATATATTTGTTCTTTGTGTCTTAAGTCATTAAAGCAAAACCTTGAATCCTTTTCTTAAAACAAAAACAAAAAAAAATCCAGTCATCTTTTCTGAGATTGTTTTTTTCACCCGTGGGTGTAAAACCAATCTCGTATAAATGTATAAATAAATAAATTTATTATTATTATTATTTATTCAAATTTCAAATATTATTATAGTACATTGCTCGGTGTCATTAAAAAAAAATGAATTTATCAAGTTAAGAATCTCAGCAGCATGGGTTTTATTATAGGGCAATTATAATTTGAAAAAAAAAAAAATTTTTTTAACCTCCATGGGCCACACAAAATGACTTGGCGGACCGCATTGGGCCTGCGGACCTCGAGTTTGACACAAATCATGTAAGCCGTCACATTTGGAGGGAGGAGTATGGGCAAATCAAACTGTCACTCAGCTGTACTCATTGCTCAAAGTGTGAGGTCTGTCTGTCTGTCTGTCACCCTTTCTTCCTGCTGGGCAATCAGTGTCATTACACGCACCTGTGTGTCTAATCAGTGCCACTGCTGTCACCTGGTGTCACTCACTCCCTCACTCAGTCTAGTTGTTTTTTTTCTCTTGCCTGCTCCTTTATTCAGTGAGTTTTTGTTATTTTGTTTATTTTTTAAAAAAAAAAACTTTCTCTAGATGAGGAATGTATTAATGTTTTTTTCTATGAAGCTTCGACGACATTCTTCAGGTGATAATTGAACTTGTTTTGTCTGCTGCAGAGAGGCTGCTGCTGAATCGTACAAGAATACCGTTTTGGTCAGCCCACTTTCTGACTGAGGAGGTGGAGAAAGGACAACAACTGGTGAGTGGTCTTCCAAAGACTTTTTTTTTTTTCAGTATTTCCTCCTTTAGGTCGCGGACATTTTTTTATTCAGTGAGTTTTTGTTATTTTGTTATTATTATTTTTTTTTTAACTTTCTCTAGATGATGAATGTATTAATGTTTTTTTCTATGAAGCGTTCATGACTTTCTGCAGGTGATAATTGAACTTGTTTTGTCTGCTGCAGAGAGGCTGCTGCTGAATCGTACAAGAATACCGTCGGTCAGCCCACTTTCTGACTGAAGAGGTGGAGAAAGGACAACAACTGGTGAGTGGTCTTCCAAAGACTTTTTTTTTTTTTTTCAGTATTTCCTCCTTTATTGCCAGACATTTTCAGTCAACAGAAAATGTTTTGAAGGAGGCCAAGGTCTAGCTCAAGGGTGTCTAACATATGGCCTGCAGGCCAAAACTGGCCCGCTAAGGGTGTCCAGTCTGGACTGCTTAAAAAATTTAGAAAAAAAAGATATGCACAAACTATTAATTTTTTATAAAATTATATTTATTTCAATATGAATAAATATTATTTATAGATAATGTTATGATTGTACAGGTCCAGCCCACAGCCTGTGAACCAAAATGAATTTGACACCCCTGGTCTAGCATCTTTTTAAAATGGTCGGGATTATGATAAACAATGAACTATAATCTATAAATACCAGGCTCGCATATTCCCCCGCTACCGCCCCCCCCATCCCCTCACGGGGGGAGCAGTAAACTGTATAACGGCGTCATCTGTTGATGACGAAGTAAAGTGTATCATACAGGAGTACAACCCTTTGCACAGGTTTTACCCTAACCTTTTTTTTTTCACTAACAGTGACTACTCTACTACATAGAATAGCTGTAAATTCTATATTCTTTTTTTTTTCTCCCCGCCTCATAGTTAAGCTCTTCTGACGCACAGATACCAAGGCTACCACCTTTTTCATATTCTGTCACATGGGTTGAATGTGTGCGGAGTGCGTGTATGGATGTGGATGCATGTGCTTCGAGTGGTGCGGATGGTAGTAATGGGGTGGGGGCGGAGGGAGTGGGTTGTTGTCGAGGCATGTGCGTGAATGTGTGACTTTGCGTTAGTCACTCTGTTGCTCTGTTTGTGTGAATCCAGAGCTGTGCGCCAAGGAAAAAAAAAAAAAGGAGGTCATGGGATTCTCCTTCTTGAACTTATGATGTGGCGACATTACATGATATATTAATAAAGCTAAGGTTTGAATCGCATGAATCTTTACTCGTAGTTAACGACAGCTAAACAGAGAGTAGGAGCAGTTTCTGCACCAATTGTGCACTTATACTGAAAACAGTGTCTTCTGCTTTAAGTGTCACTTAAACCGAGCAGCACTATCACCGTGTTTCAACCAACCAATGAACACACAAAATGTTAGTTTGTGGTGCCCTGAAAAAAAAAAAACAACCAACCAAACAAAACAAAAGTCCAAACTGTTGACATCGTTGACCTACTTCACTGAAACACCCATGTAGGCAATGAGACACTGAAGTGCAGTAGGAAAAAAAAAACCCACAACACTGGGTGTTCAGCTGGTTATGATGAATAGCCTGAGCAGAATGTTGGGTCGCTGGACCGGGAAATGTTTTGTTCAATGATTGGATGAAATAACGAGCCCAGTACCAATATGTGCATTCCTGTCTTTCAGACCGTATCTACTCAGCACCTTAAGAGACCTCTGTCTCTCTCACCATCATTTTTTTCCTCTTTCATTCCATTATTATTATTATTTTCTTTTATTATCTATCTATCTACCCGTCCGTCTGTCCGTCCGTTTATCTATCTATCTATACATACATATATACATACATATATATGTATACATATA